TGTTAATTTTAGCCATTCTGACAGGTGTGAGGTGGTATCCCATTCTGGTTTTGATTTGTAGTTCCCTGATGATGAGTGATGTTGAGCCTCTTTTTATGTGCCTGTTGGCCATCCGGATGTCTTCTTTGGAAAAATGTCATGTCACCTGCCCATTTATTAACAGGATTATTTGTTTTTTGGATGTTCAGTTTTGTAAGTTCTTTATGTATTTTGGATACTAACCCTTTATCGGATCTGTCATTTGCAAATATCTTCTCCCAATCCATCAGTTGGCTTTTAGATTTGTTGATTGTTTCCTTCACTGTGCAGAAGTTTCTTATTTTGATGAAGTCCCAATAGTTTACTTTTTGTTTTTGTTTCCCTTGCCTCAGGAGAGATATCTAGAAAAGAGTTGCTATGGCCTGTATTTTCTCTTTAGGATGTTTATGGTTTCAGGTTTCATATTTAGGTATGTATTCCATTTTGAATTTATTTTTTGTATAGTGAAGAAAGTGGCCAAGTTTCCATTTTTGCATGTTTCTGTGCAGTTTTTCTAACATCATTTGTTAAAGAGACTGCTTCTTTCCAATTGGATATTCTTTGCTGCTTTGTTGAAGATTAATTGACCATATAGTTGTAGGTTTATTTCTGGATTTTCTGTTCTGTTGATCTATGGTCTTCCTTTTTTGAGGCTGTACTCAGTTTCTTCTTTGAAGGACTGAGTTAAGTTCAGGTTTTGTTTTCAGGTTTGAGTGATTTTATTTTAACATGTAAATTTGAGTACATATAGTAATAGAGCATTTTAAATTCTGTACAAATATTTGTGACTATCCTTTAAGCATAGCTTTCCTTCTCCTTTTATGGACAGCAACAAGACCTTTTGGTCAAATTTCCTAGTTTTCTCATTTCTATTGAATAAAAGATCTGATTTACTTTGTAACTTTACCATATATTTGTTGTTAATCTTTTAAAAATTATTATTATGTTGTATCTAATGAATGCTTGCTCATTTAACAATATAATCTGGTCATAAAGGTCATATTCCCATCTCTGACTATGACACAGTCATATTTCTAAATGTTTAATGCCATTCTAATACCAGTTGGTCTTGATCTGTATTTAGAGCTGATTTTTAAAAGAATTCATTTAGGATTTGCCTTTCTGATATACTCACTCTCTGATTTTATTATTCATATCAGAAATAAACTCAGGAGTTTAAGATTGTGGCTCTACTTATGTCATTTGTAAGTTCAGCCGTCTGTTGGGCTTACACATAATGCATTCTAGGAATTCAATTAAATAGCAAAAGATCTTGATGCTTTCCGTGTCATTTAATATTGCAGTGCTTATGCCATAGAAATAAAGAAAAGTAAGCGAAAATATAAAGAACTTTAAAATACATAGTGGGAAGATAGTTTGGACTGGCCAGATACAGAAAATACAGCATTCTTTTCATGAGAGTTGGATAAACAGTATTTTCCATATTCTTATTTCCAGAAACCTTTATGACAAGTGAAAAGAGGGCTTTTTCTACGGAAAGAGTTGCCTTAACTCTTCTGTTTAGCCACACTTGCATAGGTGTTTTCAATTTCTTTGTCTTCAGGACATGTGTGGATAAATTCTTCACGGGCATAGGCATTGTGAAGATAGCGCCAGACTCCTGAGAATTCTGCTGGAATGTCAAAGTCACGGTATTTCTTGGCAGCAACCTAGGGTTTTGGGAAAAAACGGTAATAAAAGGCATCAATGACATGCTTAGTGTGGAGAAACATATTTCAAGAGTCAAGATCATTAAGGACATGTTATCTGCACAAAAATAATCTTGCACTTACTACTTTAAAGTTTTTTTTACAAATGTAGACAAAGCTATATTTGTGTAATCATATTTAAATTTATGCTGTGATTATCAGAAGAATTTCTCCACTAGACTAAGTTTGCTTAGGGTCCCAACTATGTCTTATTTCTTTATGTATTCTGTGTGTTTGGCATAGGACCTGAGACAGAATAAGTTCTGTTCAATAAGAATTTATTAAATCAATGATTAAGTCATCATGATATTACTAGTAGCTCACATTATTTATCATTTGTTATGACACTGTTCTAAGCATTCTACATGCTTTAATTTAATCAACAATTCTATGAAATGGGTAATATTACCCTTGTTTTTTTTAAGTTTATTTATTTATTTTGAGAGAGCATGCATGCAAGCATGGGAGGCAGAGAGAGAGAGAGAGAGAGAGAGAGAGAGAGAGAGAATCCCAAGCAAGCTTTGCACTGTCAGCACAGAGCCCCATGCGGGACTTGAACTCAGGAACCATGAGATCTTGACCTGAGCCAAAATCAAGAGTTAGATGCTCAGCTGACTGAGCCACCCAGGTACTCCTTACTCTTGTTTTATAGATAAGCCAGTGGAAAGCACCTTCTGATTTGGGAAGAAAGAAACAAATTTTTATGGTTCCCAGAGGAGATCACTGTGGTTTTTTTTTTCCTAAGGAGAAAAAGGAGATATATACCATGTATAATGATGACAAAGCCATCATATTACAATCTCACACTAAATAGTCACTGTGTTTCATGCTGGCAACTCCCAACCCCCTCCCAAACCATTCAGTATGCCCTACAAAGGCTTACTTTAATAATGTTCAGTTTGGGTAACAAGCTGCAGTCAGCCAGTGTCAGCTGGTCCCCATCCAAGAACAATCTTCTGGAAACTGTGAGTTCCTCAGCACTGTCTGGATCAATTTCATCCAGAAGCGGGGTGTTTAAGTAGTCATCCAGACGTTTAAATTCTCTGAGCAGAGATTTTTCAAAATCTGAGCAAAGAAGTCAGAAGGTTACTAATAAACGTTTTGTCTTCATGACTACATTTTACATAAGCTTTTCACACATTTAGACATCTCTATCTATACACATTGCTTACACTGGCCCTTCAAAATCTAAATAGTTAACTAGAACTCAACTACCCACTGATAAGACAGAATCAGGTGTTTAATCAAATGCTCTTTGACTCTTCTTGAGGAGCATTGGAAGGAGAGTCAAAGAAAGAAAAAGTCACATATGTTATTACTAAACACAGAAAAGTCAGAAAGTGGAATCAGAAACTAATAGCTCTTATGACTCAGAATACAGTAAACCCATTCAAGAATGGTCATGGGAGATAGTAGATGCTATAGTTTAAGAAACCTTAAAGGCACACAGGAAAAGTTGGGGGGGGGCTAAAAAATACAGTCCTGCAGTTAGTTAACTCCTAGCATGTCAATGCTCTAATTGAGCCAAGTTAGTAATTGCTATATTGAATCTTGGGCTCTAAATTTAATAAAATTTCATGGAAAGGAATTTCAAAGGAGAAAAGAAAAAAATCAGAGGAAGAGTGCATTCCCCAACATATATTACATATTCAGGAAAATCCCATGTTAGCTGAGTGAGACTGTGGGAGTCAGCAAATGTGTGAGAGAAATAGAAATTTAAATAAAGGTATCTTACTCTTATTTGCTTCTTTTTGTGTATTCTTTATGTATGCAGAAAACTTGGCAAAGAGGTTACAGCCCACATCAAAAGACTCCTTGTTCTTGGGACTCAGGTGAGGATACCTTAAAAAGAAACATCACTGCATGATTATTCACACATAAGTCAGAGACCAAGTGTCCTAGCTTGTACTCTACTGAAAACGGAGGTTTTAGAAAATTGTGCTGGAAACAGAGGGTTCTGAGAATCTCTATTTGTAAATATATATTTTTCCCAATATCAGAATACTTTAGTTTCTAAAGTTCACTAGGAAACAAGCTGTGGAAAATTCAAAGGCCATTTACCTGTAGGAACAATGTTTTAAATGGTAGTTAAGTCCTCCATACTTGTTCCTGAAAGCCTATTTGGCAGAAGATATATTGTTGGTAATACATTTTTAAAGCTAAGTAGGAAAAAATATGGCTTTAAATTATTGTAAATTCCATAAAAATGAAGGAATAAAGAGGATAGAGAGCATGGAAAAAGGTAGCCAAGATGTCCTCTCCTTAGTAATACAAAGTTCACTTAGCATAGTAAAAATTAAATAATGTAATAATGTAATCCACCACATTAAGAAATTAAATAATACCATATTATCATGAGTAGATGCAGAAAAATTATTGCAAAGCAATTCCTAGTCATAAAAAAAAACCCACTAGCAACAGAAATGATCAGGTCAAACAGTCATCTTCCTTAATACCTCTCTTTCTCTCCCTCCCCATATTTGCTCCATTAGCAATTCTATCCAGTTTATCTTTCAAAATATACCCAGAACTTATCCACTTCTCACCACCTCCACTGCCCTCTGCCTTGTCCAAGTCTTATACTACTGCAATAGCTCTTTGACTATTCTCCCCACTCCCATGCTTGTCCCCCACACTCTTAGACTATTTTCCACTTGCTGCCAGAGCAATCATGTTAAAAGGTAAATTGTATCATGTATCTCCCCTACTTATTACCTTGCAATGCCCCCATCTCATTCAGACTCAGACCCCAAGTCCTCATAGTAGTCTACAGGGACTGATGTGATCTGACCCTATCTTACCACTCTGCTCTCATTTCCTCCTACTCTTTTCTCCACTCACTACACTTGAAACTTACCTCTTTGCTGTTCTTCAAATAGACCTGACAAGCTCCAGCCCCAAGGCTTTTTCACTTAGTCTTCCCTTAAGTGGAGTGATTTCCTTTATGTATGCACATGACCTACTCCCTCTCTTCTTTCGGATCTAGTTTTTATATTTCTGAGACCTTCCTCTGCCCACTCTATTTAACATTGCAACCTTACTCTGCCCTTACCCCATACTTTACTCCCTAGTTTTATTTTTTCTTAGTATTTAACATCATCTAAAATAGTTTCTATTTTGCTTTTTAATCTTGCCTATTTATTGTCTTCCCCAACTAGAATGTAAGGTCTACTAAGACAGTGTTTTTGCCTGGTTTAATCACTGATGTGTTTCAAGTGTCTAGAATATTGTTTGATAGTAAGTACTCAGTAAATATTTATTGAATGATTAAACTAATTCATTAATTTCCTTAACCTGATAAAATATATCCATCAAAAACTTTCAGCAAGCACCATATTACATGGTGAAATGTTAGAACTGTTTCCCTTAAAATGAGTAAATGATGAGAATAATCATTATCACTACTTGTCTTCAACATTGTGCTGAGTGCACTAACAAATAAGACAAACAACATTCTAAATGGTAACTTTAAAACCATTTACATTAAATTTAGGAACAAGACAGAATTAATGAGATATTTCGGTAAGGTGGCTAATACAAGTCAAACATTAAAAAAATAAGTTTTCTATGCTACCAATAACCAGATGGAAATAGATATTAGTAGCATATTCCATTTACAATTGTGATAAAGTATAAAATATTTAGAAATAATTTAATACAAAGGTATAGAACCAATATGAAACAAAACAAAACAAAACAAAACCTCATCAAAGAACATAAGACTGGCACTTATGTTGATAACCTAATGTAAATCAGTGGATGAATGGATAAAGGACATGTGGTGTATATACAATGGAATATTATTCAACCATAAAAAAGAAGGAAATCCTACTATTTCTAACAACATGAATGGACCTGGAGGACATTATTCTAGGTGAGATAAGTCAGACAAAGACATATACTGTATGATCTAACTTATATGTAGAATCTAAAAAGCAAAAATCATAAAAAAGAGAGTAAAATTATAGTTACTGGAGGCACCTTGGTGGGGGGATTGGGGAGATGTTTAAATGTTAAAAGCTTGCAATTAGTAGATAAATAAGCACAGCATAGTGATTATAGTCAACAAAACTATATTATAAACTTCAAAGTTCCCATTAGCAGTTACTCCCCATTCACACCTCCTCTCAGTCCCTGGAACCACTAATCTTTCTGTCTCTATGGACTTGCTTATTCTAGACATTTCATATAAATGGAATCATACAATATGTGGCCTATTGTTTTTGGCTTATTTCACTTAGTATGATGGTCAAGGCTCATATCCTGGTATGTATCAGTACTTCATTGTTTTTTATGGTTGAATAATATTTCATTGTATGGATAGACCACATTTTCTTTATCCAGTAATCACTTGATGGATATTTATGTTGTTTTCACAATTTGGCTAGTGTAAATAGTGCTGCTATGATTGTGTACACGTTTTTGTTTGAATACCTGTTTTCAGTTCTTTTGAGTATATATCTAGGAATAGAATTGCTGGGCTATGTGGTAACTCTATGTTGAAATTTTTGAGTAACTGTCAAATTTTTTTCCACAATGGCAGCATTTCTACCAGCAACGTATGAGAATTCCAATTTTTCCACATTTTTGTTAGCATTTGCTATTTCCTGTTTTTTTTTTTCTTTTTCATGATAGCCATCTTAGTGGCTTTTAAGTGTTATCTCACTATGGTTTTGATCTGCATTTCCCCAATAACTAATGATGTTAAGCATCTTTACATGTGCTCATTAGGCATTTGCATATATTCTCTTGAGAAATATCTACTTTCTTGACACTTTTAAAATTAGGTTGTTTGCTTTTCTGTTGTTGAATTGTAAGAGTTCTTTGTATATTGTGGAAGCTAGACCTTTATCAGATACATGATTTGGAAACACTGTCTCCCATTTTTTTTGGATTAATTTTTCTTTTTTTTTTTTGATAGTGTTCTTTGATGCACAAATGGTTTTAGTTTGATGAACTCTAATTTATCTACTTTCTATTTCATTGCTGTGCATTTGGTGTCATATCTAAGATTCTATTGCCAAATACAAGGTCCTGAAGATTTACCCATATGTTTTCTTCTAAGAGTTTTATAGTTTCAGCCCATATGTCTAGGTCTTTGATGTGCTTTGAGTTAATTTTTGTTTATGGTATGAGGTAAGGGTCTAACTTTTTTCTCTTGCATGTGAATATCTAGTTTTCCCAGAATGATTTGTGGGGGAGACTATTCTTTCGTCATTGAATGGTTTTGGCACTCTTGAAAATCAATTGACCTTTGATGTATGGGCTTATTTCTGGACTCTCATTTCTCCACTATTGACTTATAAGTCTATTCTTATGCAAGCATTGCACCATTGTGATTATGGTAGGTTTGTAGTAAGTTTTGAAATCAGGAAGTGTGAGTCCTCCAACTTTGTCTTTATCAAGACTATTTTGGCTATTTGTGGTCTCTTGCAATTCCATATGAATTTGAGCATTGGTTTTTTTTATTTCTGCAAAAACACCATTAGAATATTTATTGTGGTTGCATTGAATTAGTAGATCTTTTTGGGGAATATTTCTATCAATAAAATTAAGTCTTCTAGTCCACAAACATTGGATGTTTGTATGGGTTGAATTGTGTCCCCCCAAAACGATATATTGGAGTCATAAACTCCAGTACTTTCTTTTTTAATTTTAATTTCTATGTTTATTTATTTTTGAGAGAGAGAGAGAGTGCAAGCAGAGGAGGGGCAGACAGAGAGGGAGACACAGAATCTGAATTTGAAGCAGGTTCCAGGCTCCGAGCTGTCAGCACAGAGCCCAACATGGGGCTTAAACTCACAAACCGCGAGATCATGACCTTAGCTGAAGTCGGACGCTTAACCAATTGAGCGACCCAGGCGCCCTAAACTCCAGTACTTACTAATGTAACCTTATTTTGAAATATGATTGTTACATATGTAATTAGTTAAGACAAGGCCACACTGGAGTAAGGTGGGCCCATTAATCCAAATTACCAGTGTTCTTAAAAAGAATATCTTTTCAAAAGACAGAGGAATGGGTAAAATGCCATGTGAAGATGGAGGATTGGAATTATGGATCCACAAGTCAAAGAACACCAGTGATTGCTGGAAAGCCACTGGAAACTAAGAAGAGGCAAGGAAGGATCTTTCTCCTAAAGGTTTCAGAGGGAGCATGGCCCTGCTGATTCTTTGACTTCATACTTCTGGCCTTCAGAACTATAAGACAAATTTCTGTTGTTTTAAACCACTCAATTTATGGCACTTAGTTGTGGCAGCCCTAAGAAACTAATATACATGTCTTTCCATTTTTTAGGTCTTCTTTCAGCAATGGTTTGTGATTTTCAGCAGAGAAGTCTTTATTAAGTTTATTCCGAAGTATTTTGTTATTTCTTATACTGTTGAAAATGGAATTGTTTTTTAAATTTACTTTTTGGATTATTCAATGGTAGTGTAAATAAATAAAATTGATTTTTGTATATTGATCTGTATATTTCAATTGTACTTAAATCATGTATGAGTTCTAGTAGTTTTTTAGTGGATTTTAAAGGATTTTCTGTGTGAAAGATTATGCCATCTGCAAATAAAGATAGTTTTACTTCTTCCTTTCCATTTTGAATACTTTTTATTTATTTTTTTTCATAACCACTCTGGTTAAAACTTCCAATGCAGTGTTAAACAGAAGTATCAGATATGGTACCCCTGTGTTGTTCCTAATCCTAAGGGGAAAGTTTTTAATCCCTTACCATTAAGTATGATGTTATGTGTGGGTATTAGATGCTTTTTGTCAGGTTGAGGAACTTCCCTTCTGTTCCTAGTTTGTTGAGTATTATCATGAAATGGTGTCAGATTTTGTCCATT